CGCAGCTAGTAGAGTACATTTGCTCATTTGCATGTAAGCATTACTCCCTTTGTAGACATTGTAAAAGTAATATTCTGCCTTTTACTAGATGACCCTAAGTTATCGCCAGATATAAAGCAAGAAGTAAAGCAACGATCTAAGAAAACGGGAATCGTCGAGGTCGATCGTTTGCTCGATCTTCAGATGTCACTAATGCTATCATACCACGACTACAGGTCGATTTCGAAAGGTTCATGGTGTAAATCACGCTCTTTGCTTGCAATATTGAGTGCAATGTTGTCTTCATCACAATTTCTCATGGTAGAATAAGCCGCTTCTAGAATTGAAAAAGTGTTGTTGAGATACTCAGAATCGCTATTTAGTTTGCACAGGACACAAGTGAAAATGTGAACGGATACACACTTCTTGAGTACATTCACCAACTGCAGCTGTTATTGCGCGTCGCACGCTTTGTTCATGAACGATCCGCTCAACCAGGCGGAATTCAAAATGAAACGCTGTCAGAAAAATCGTATATCGGTCTAATAACTGAAATGATTGAAGCCTCAAGCCATGAATTAGGTATATCGAACGACAACGATTTTTTGAAGTACTATATTCTTATCTGTGTGCGCATGTTGCTATTGCCACATGGTGTGCACCATGTCCGTGCTGTCGGATTGTCGATCCATCAAGTGGTGAACTGTAGCCGCTTTGTCGAATTTTATCGTCTGATGGATAAAACGCTACGTGAGCGATATGATATTCAAAAGAACTTATTTCTTCCACAACGAATTCGAAACATACATCGGCAATATCTTCAATTAGACAGGGATAGCAATGGAATGCTCAGCATGATTGAATTAAAAGAGTATGGAAAGAAGCGAGCGTTTAATTCAACAGGCTATGAGCCTACTCATGATCTGACAGATGCCTTTGTGACGCAAGTTTTTGCTGAAGTCTTAGTATTCAACGATGAACTGGATTATCATGCCTATTTGGACTTCACACTAATAATGAGCGATCGAGAATCAGCCGCAGCACTTCGTGTGAGTTTAAAAATCTCATTGAAAGAAGAATATGTATTGACACTTTTGTGCTGGATTCTCATAAGTTCTTCTGGAGTGTGCTTGACTTTCAAAAGCAAGGGTATCTCGATGCATTCACTCTCGACTACTTTCTGCGAAGCTTGCTCGAAAAAATTTTCGCGCATGAAGGAAGGGAGGACGCTCCGACTGTCGATCGTTTGCGGGTTTGTACCTTATTTCCTGATTTCCCGAGTGAAAAAAACGCTTTACTTACGATATAAACATTATAACGTAGATGCAGATATTTGACGTGGTGGCCCCAATATGTCCTGGCAGAATTACCTGGCAGGACCTGCAGCGTTGCAAACTTGGACACGGAGTCGTTCGGTAACAGTGTCTTTCTTAGTCTGTTGAAGAAAAAGATTTTTTTACGAACTTGCTTGTGATCTCAGATTTATCACCGACTATGTTGGTTATCGAAAGTTCGAGGACTGTGGAGGTTGCTTTCCTTCTTAATACTTCGTGATATTAACTTTGTATCTAGCAACTGCACTTCTGTTCTGCAAGCAAAGTGCATGAATTAGTTGTTAAGGAATAATATCATTTTACTTCCAATGCTTAGGCTAGCAGATTCTCGCCGTTGTAGTGGAAAAGACACACGCTTCCGGTAAACATAGCAACACTAACTAGTAGCTGCTGATGTTTCGTAGCAAAGCTAGTTGCACGCTCATAAGAGCTTCGGTACCACGATTTGCGCTGTACAGGGACATTGACGGCGCCAAAACGGCTGGTCAGAAGACTAGACTTGGGCTTCGAAAGGCCGGAAGCGCTCATCTGACGTTGGCTTGCATTCAAACGGTCGTATTTAATACGCAAGCTGGACGCTTCACGTTCCAAAACTTGCAGCTGAGCCTCGGCCTCCTGCTTCTTTTTCGACAAGGCGACTACTGATGTGCTTAATTTTTCAGCCTCAGATAGTGCAAAGCTCACCTTAACCTGGAACCGACTTTTCACCGACTTCGATTTTTCCTGCCCAACTTCTTTGACATCCTCTTCAACCCTTTCAGCACTTTCAACCTCGCCATTTGTCTTTTTATCCTGCTCAACCGTCTCAATCCCCTCCATTTTCTCAGATGCTTCATTTTTCTCAGCATCTTGAGGCTTTTTCTCCTCGTTAGATCCTTCAGGGTTCTCATGCGACTCAGTATTTTCTGAAATGTCCACCTTGTCGACATCGTCACTCTTCTCCGTGGCTGCGTCTCTTTCAATAACTTCATTTATAACTTCCTCTACCAACTCTGTAATGGTAGTAGGCTCATCCTCTGTTTCCTCATCACCAACAGTGTACCATTTATTCAGCACATGATCCTGAAACAGAGATGAGACTGGAATCTCAATTTCTTTAAGGACATCAGGCTCTTGATCATCTTCCGTCGAAGCCGCAGCGACCGTAATAATCACAATCGCCTCTCGCGACTGCACAGGATCAAAGACAAACGAAGCAGGAAATGTCAACGCAGTCACCTCGTCTTCATCTGACTTAAGAGGGGCATTCCAAGCTATCGTTCGCACCACCGGCTCTTTCTCCTTCTTAACGCGCTTCTTAACAATGGTACGCGTGATTTTTGTGGTCGTCTTGAGTTTACGCGGCGTGTGTTCGCCATCTTCATCCGAAACTTGGCCATCTTCTACCACATGTCCATGCTCGTCCGTGACTACAATATCTTTCTTCTCGTCGACCTCCTCCACGGTCTCGAACTCATCAGCCTCGTACTCAGGATCTAAAGCAACAGTTATCGTAGCATTTGGTACAGGCTCTTCACCCTCTACACCGATCAGGACGACCTCAAGACGGCCAATACTTTTGGCTGCGGCTTTTTGTTCGTCGGATAAGTCCTCCTGCCCCTCGGGGGCCTCAGACAGCGCCGAAATTTGCTGAAATACAGCGGCAATCTGCTCGTCTAGCAGTTTAACTTCATCCACTTTGGCCGTCACACTACGGCGACACTCAAGATATTGCTGCGAAGCACGTTGTGCCATCGCAGATACGGCGGCTGACGAGGATGTAGCAGCCATCACGAGGACAAGTGTATAGTTTAATGCGTGGCGGAGGAGAAGCGTAATGTACAACACATCATATGCAAATTTGTCTGTTTATATTGTATGTTTGGTACACAAAGCAAGTGGCAACTGTGAATATTTTGCTCCAGTTTTCTTGATTACAATTGTACAAAATTCACAATACACATGTGAACAATCCCAAGTTGCAGACTATCGATATTCTTAAGAAAAAGTAAAATAAATGAATTCTAAATAGAAATAATTACAAATACATGCTTGTCTCGATTCCGCTTCATATAGAGCCGCACGAACCCAACCTCCTAGCGTTCGTCTGAGAGTCAAACCTTTCGCCAAGCAAAAGGCACGGCAGCTCCGGTGCATTTGGTGGTACTTGTAGTCAATGCAACGACCGAGTCGTGGGTCAACTGTATCCTATTTGAGATCATGGCCGAATACTTCTCCCCAGGATAAATAAACTAGCTTGACAAGCTTAATTCTATCTTGGGTCCCATTGGGGTCGGGAAACTGGAAGCTTAAAAGGCGGAAGCGGTAATTACTCGCCTGGAGGCGCTCACCAGCTTTAGGTTTGCGCTGTAAGCCCCTTAACTAAGCGACAACAAGAGAACAGGTGTGTCCTACTGTGAATCTGCTGATGTTAAGCATACGGCACTTTCAGGGCTGGGACGGAGATAATTTCTCTCACTGGTTAATTAGAGCCGAAATATCCATTGACTTGGCCTTGCTCCAAACGGAGCCACAGCGCGTCGGGCGCACGAGAATGGGCACTAACTCACAATACCTTTCTAAAATAGGCAATTCCAACGTGAGACATCTTGAAGTGACAGATGTCAATAATGTTTGTTCACACTGCCTAATCAGGCCGATTGGGCGCGCTCGAAGTTCTTTTCTGCCCGTAAATGAGGCAAGAATAGACCAGGTGGTGTCAGACCCAGTCGCGGTAAAGATTGTCAATTTCATGGAGAGTCTCCAAATGGGACTGTCTCGCACCGAGAAATTCGACAATCACCGTACCTCTTTTGACAAAGCGAACGGCACCGCATTTAATGCGAAGAACAGCTTTCTTGCCGCGAGGGCATGATGAAGTCATAAGAATTTAAGCGTTTTGAGCGCGCAAGGGATGATGTACTTCAGCCATGCTGAGGAAGAAGAGAAGATGCTAAGCAGCTCCGTATCACCCACAGATGTTTCATCTGCCGTTGTAGAAAGTCACCCGCCCTCAACTGAGAGTTTACAAACAGTCGGGACTAAAAGTAAGCGGGGTCTGTTAGGAAAGACCTGGCTTTATCTTAGAAAACGCCTAAGGATGACTGGATCGTCCATACTGTCTCACAATGCCTTCGATCAATTAGAGCTATCCAAGTCAACCGTTGGGATCAAGCTCAGAGATTCGTCATTTGAGGAAAAGAGTATTGAGCGCGGCTCTTTTTTGCAACTCCATTTGTCGTTCTGATGCGATACAGAGCAACATGGATTGTTATAGGCAGAAAAACGCTCACATAGCCAGAATGTTTTGACTAATGAAGCTTAAGTGATTATCGCTGTTGGTTACTCGCTACGGGCAGCCTACTGAACAATGTAGACGCTCTGGGATATCGCCGTCGGGCAATTTCATACTGGTACACAAGGGCAGGATCGACACGTGCCCTTGTTGACGGGGGTCCTTCGATTCTCGGTCAAAATTACTAAGTTACTGTATGAAGTACAATGAAACAGACTGGTTCTTTTTTTTGGCCGTGATAGACAATCTATTTGACTACCCAACGAGGTTCACCAATAAATCGCTTTCGAGCGAACCGGAGATATTTCGGCTTCTAGACTTATAAAACCGACTTGATCGAATGGGGCGAGCAGAAGTGTTTAGTGTCAAGCAAGACTTGATTGATGCAACAGATCTTGCTGTCGGCACGGAGACTGATATTTTAAGCGCAACATTTTAATAGTATGCTCGTGCTCATTCGGTTTAACAGTATCATGAAGCATTCATGAGGTCTACTACGCTAATACAACTGGCCCACTGACAGATACATATTGACGAATGAATTAAGCGTCCTAACGAGACCATGATATTAATTTGAAAGCGTAAGCGCCATTCTAAAAAACAGCCAGATCATCCGATGACATAAATGCAAAAGTATATATTCTATATCAATACATACCTGCATTTGAAATGGCTCGAAACATCTTAGTAGTGAACTATTTTAACTGAGATGACTCAATTAAACGTTTGATGAATTTTTAGTGGGGAGCAACATTAAACTTTTGATGTTCTGAGCGCTGACTTGAATACGTGTACTTATTTTGCCGGCATATCACGTCAGCAATCAAATCGCAAACAAAAGTGATACTCGGACAGTTCTTAATGAATAAGATGATCTCATGTTTGTGGTTTGCGGCTAACCATGATTTGTGTGAATGCATACTGCGGCTCGCCACCTTCCGGAACTTCCTTTTGCATTGATCGAATGAAAATCTATCGTACCGTTGTTTGCCCAAGACTTTTTAATCAAACGACCGAATTGAAATCATTGTCATATATAGCGATGACGCATATATATACATGTGCAAAGCGGCTCAACTCACCGCTTTGCACATGTGGACTCGAAAGGTGTACTGTTTAGAATTCTTAATCATTGGGGTATACACAACCGCAAAGTAGCTTAGTCATTGATTCATGGCGAAAGTCGCTGTACGTTCATTGCATAAAACGTACTCAGACTTGATACCAACGTTTTCTTATCGACCGGCGACAGTATTTCTTCAATTAGAATTCCGGTTGGAGCCAGTGATCAGCGCAATTCGAGTAATATTTTTCAAAAATCGTTTCAATTGAGGGACTAGTGCTAAACAAATGCAGCACATATTCGAATATGCTGTGGAGCAAAATATAATATTGAATGCAATTAACCTACCTACACATGCAGTAACTGCGGTCTATAATTTCGGCCACGCTACGTTAGGTAGCTGATGATCATAGCAAAAAAGGTTGGTTTACTTTCCAAATATCCTAAAGAAAGTGCGACCATATCTAGAGTTTATTGTGGTTTTGGTGGAACCATATCACGATCCCGTTACTACCATATGTTAAGGCCACCATCATCAATAGCTGAGCTACCCTCTGCTTCAAAACAGTAACGCGGTTCTGTGCCGCTGGTCGGACCTCAAGCCAGGCTATGCGGTGACGAAGCTCATCGATAGAATCCAAGATCTGGCTTTGGCATTGCTTAATAATCAAGTGTGACCCAATTTCACGTGAAATGTTTAGTAGTTTGGCCGGTACACAAGGACTGTTACCGGTAAATGGCGAAGTGAACGGACACCCACATTCGGAAATTATGAGAATTTGCAGTTCCGCTTCGGCAAGATTGCCTTTTTTCGTAGCCGCTTTCTCTTTGTTACACCTTCGACCTTTATCTCTCTCGGAGTTCCACTAGTGTGTGGGTATCGACCGTGCTATGATTATGACTCGCGGTCGGTAGCTATTACAGATGTCTTGATCTACCAGCGGTGCTTTGAACAGCAGAAATTGAAGCAGATGGGCTGCTACCTGGGCAATTGCGTCATGCTTTGTACTTCACAAAGCGATGTATGAGTCGACGATCCAGATGGATGTCCGCTTCACTAAAGCTGGCTTGAAAAGCCTTACCGCGTGTGGTTTCCTCGCCCAGTGCACGAATTGAGTCTGATACTTATCAGCACTCTTGTCGGCTTCAAGTACCCACGATAAACGTCTCATGAAGGATAAAGATTTCTTTTCCCGCTGCTGTACAAAGCGTATACAGCACTCTTGGAAAGATTGTCTGTGGGTTTGGAAAGCGCTGGCGGAGCGACTTTATCGTGCTCAATTCTCTCTGGTTGCAAGCCGAAGATTTACACGCACATCGGCGTAGTCTGCACTTTTGCAGTGATCAACTTCTGATGGTTTGAAGCCATAATCGCATTGTAATTTTGCACGAGTCGGCATGCTCTTGCGCTTGCAGTAATCTCATCTAAGTTCTGCTTGGTGCTGACGGGCTGGACTTCGTCCTTAGCCCCACTTAGAAATTTCGCAACACATCCAGCCGGTGGATTTGGGTACGAAGTACTTGAATCGTGGTTGAGCGCAGTGAGCGCAGTGAGCGCCTCCTCCTTGAGGCCGTGTGTTTTCAGGTGAGATCGATGGTGTTTGGTCAGGACTCAGAAAGTATCTGCGAATATTCTTGTCGAGACCACGCCAGTATTCTCACTGAGATTTGCCTTTCGTGCGTCTGTCGCGATCACCGCACTCTTTCTGGGGCAAATTGAGTCATTTGTTTGATTTTCTTTTGTGCAATGCGCCATGTACGAAATTCGGAATCTTTGCTGTAAAATGCGGGTCTCTATATCCAACACAATGGCTAACGGCATCTTCTGGGCAACACACAGCCAACCCGTTGCGCGGGCGGAACCTACGAGCCCAATGTCTGTGCTCTAATAATTCGGATCGCTGAGTCAAAGATTCTTCTGTGCAAACGCATGGTAACCCGATAAACGAATCATCGGCACCATTTGACGTGCTGATACCAGCTTGACTACACTATGTAGCAAATCTAGGATCATATCTCGACAACATTGAGCGGGCATGCATCGAGTGCGAGACGTTTGTGGCTAAAAGCCAGAATTTGTGAAACCAACAGGCAAAAGATGTCAGATAAAGTTGGGAACATACAAATTAGCTTTGCACTTCGTCCGAGGGTCAACAGTGTATCGTTTACGTATACCATAATACATTGCGTGCAGTTACAGGTTAAGCGTCCTCTGTACATTTACATTTACTACCACGAATTCTCGAAGCCAAAGCCTTTTCTACGCGAGGTGCTGTGATACCTATATAAAAAAATTTAAACGTATTGCGCGAGGCTATCAGCCTGTGTGTCCTCTCCTATTGACCCCGATCTCGAATTTAGTAAAACTTCTCATCCTTTGTACTTCCAAGACAATGTCATATAGTGTAAGCAGGAACGTACAGGCTACAGTGCTAGTCGACAACTCTATGCTTGAAAATTAGAGTACCCAGACATGATATGTGCGAAGTATTCAATGTATGAAGTGGTCATGGGAGAAGACTAGACATATATTGTTAGTAGTGTCTAGGGCACGAACATCTCCAGCGCGGAATAGCTTTTCAAAAGTTAGAGCACCGTAACAGCACTAATTGGCAATGGCGCAAGCATATACTCACGTTTGAACAATAGATCCAAAAGTATTGGGCTCACGTTGACCGCCCGTATGCAGCTTCATCATCTTTCGTTATTGCTGGAATTAGTTGTGCTTTTCAAATTTGGACAAAAAATTCAAAATTTATAGATCTCGACCGGATATTATGTCATCAAACCAAGTCAATCATGGACGTTTTATCAGCTCAAGGCCGCTGACGCAGAAGCGCTAAATTCTTCGTAGCACGTTGCAAGCAAGCAATGATGTGTCATCCATTAAACGCACGCAAACGTACAATTGATACTTTCTCTACAAAATTAACATTTTGTTCTGGACTTCACACTAAGGTATTTAACAGCATGGGTGCTCAGTCTACTAGCAACATCCTTATCCAAGATAACGTATAAGTTACGTTAAAGAGATCTTCAAGTGTCTCGTTTTTAGACGTCTTGATACATGGGGCAGAGGTGTTTCAAAATATCATGCTACGCTGAAAAATATTTAATTTTTCATTCTCGTTTTTCCAACTTACAAACTTCACGAGACAATCAATAAGCTTAACATCACGCACAATAATATTAAATTATCGACCCGCCTTATGGATGCGGGCCTTCTTCCATACACTCAACATGCTCTTTCATGGCTAAAAAAGAAGTTCTCCATCATGATCCATCAAAACTGGGCTTTTACCTTCTCACATATATAATTAACGCGACCACATAAACGAGTCTTGTGTCGACACGGACGATGCTTGTAGCCAGCCGCTAAGTGTCTCCAACGCTTGGGCTTCCTCATCTTCTTGAATACTAGGGGTAAAGCCACCATCAATGAAATGTCCCGCGTTTGCGAGATTTGACTGTGGGTTCAGCGATCCCAGGTTTGTCTCGAGACTCACACGATCAGAAAACTGCGAGACACGCGTGGATGAAATTGAGCGAGTGCCATTCATGAACGAGTCATTCGTGCTGCAACTGCTTCTGACGTCCGACGACAGGGTAGAAACTGGTGCTGGTGGCACACCACTACGGCCATAGAATTGAAACGAGACACCAGGCTCTTCCTTGTTTAACTGACGAATAGTTGTCATCTTGACACTTTTCTTGCTCGGACCTCGCGACCGTCTTCGATTTTGTGACATAATCGACCTCTGCTGTGGACGGGGTGGCAGCGATACAGGTTGCATCTCTTCTGGGAACAAAACGTACTCTCCTGTAGCAATCTCTTTCAGAGGAGGCTGCATATTTGTGTCCCCATTATGTCTTGCCTTCGACATCATACGAGTCGATCGCTTGCGAATGAGGGTTTTAAAGGATACGTCATCTGTAGCCGAGACCGTAGAGCTGTTTAAATTATTATGACCACCAGTGCGAAGCTGCTTCATGGTCTTCTGATCCATACGGGGCGTCAGGAGCTCGCCGTTGCCGTCAGATGTAGTAGATGACAACGGGTTGGACACTGTCGACTGGAAATAGTAGTCCGTAGGGTTCACTTCGCCATCGACTGATGACCCAGCTCCACGCATGACGACTGTAGACCCGCAGGTACTGCTGGTCGTGCCAGTACCAGTCGTGCTACTAACAAACATGGTACTGGTAGTTGTCACCATAGTGTCGCTGATATGACTAAAATTACGTGCGCCGAACTTATTCTTGCGCTCTTCAAGAAAGAATATATGCTCGAGCGCGAGCGATGGGTGACGACAGAGGCATTTGGAGCCGCGTACGCCGCATGTACGACATCTACGTAGCCAGCTAAATCTTAAGAGACTGAACCATTTGATGATCCCCATGGACCGCGTTTCCTCGCTGCTGCAAGTCGAGAAAACGACAATGATAAAAAGGTCTCGGTGGACGGGTGGCCGATCCCGTTTTGCTATCCGCCAATAAAACTGTATACTTTCCTGCGTGGTAAGCCGCGCCTCTCTTTGCCGTCAACTTGTTCTTCTCAGATGGGGTCGCCTTTGAATAAAGAAAATCACGTATGGCCTGAGAGAAAGTCAGGGCAGTAACGAAATGGCCTTGTGGAATTATGCTCATATTCATTAGCTCGCGGTTCTAGGTCCGTATTTACAGAGTTCGAATAAGATTTATTAAGACTTACCCTAAAATGCAAATTTAACGTCTACATTTATCTAATGATTCGATAGCGAAGAGCTTAATACAATAATAAGAAGAAAAGTAATGTAATTAGAAGAGCGAAGACTTCTCATACGCGATGCAAATTCAGTTTAAATATCCTGCTGATCCGTTTATGATAAACTTATAAGTTGCTTTCGCTCACACATGTTACTCACTTTGCATCCTTGCAGGAAGCCTAACAATAACCCGTATCGGCAATTGCTCTAGCGTTCTTCAACAACATTCGGTTAAACAGTCTTCATGCATTGAAGACAGCCAACAATCATTACACGATTGGTAATGTTCGATTTAATCTCTGTATATGTACTCATAGATCGGTGAATAATGTGTGGGAATAATTTTCACTTGTATTGCCCTGTTATTGATCATTTTACAGTAATGATAAGAACACTCTTGCTGGCATATCAGCTCAAAGTAGAAGGTTCATGATCTCCGAGAATTTTCAAATTCTTACATTATACTGAGTCCAAGATTTTACAAGAACACTGACAGCCCTAACTACGGTATTATATATTGAGACATTATTTTTTGAAGCAACAAAAAATCCTGAGTTAAAGCTAAGCCTATTCCTTGACTTTAACGAAAATGCTTTTGAAATACTTTCCAAAATACTAATACGTGACTCTCAAGTAAACATATAAAACCACTCTTTTGCTATAGCCTTTACAGTACGTTTCTCACGTCTGTAAAAGCAGTCTTCAACTCGTAACCTTTTCCAGAGCATCTTCTTGAACATTGCTGTAACAAATACCATATTGCATTTGATTGTGGTATCACATTTCTTCGAGCTGCTTAAACTTTAGGTAAAGAAAGAGCACCACAACGACACTGGCAAGCAGCAGCGTGTTTAGCCGCAACATAATCCGGACAGAAGATTTTCATCGCGCAATGCTACCAATTGAGCAATGCATTGTACTTTCCGATGAATTCGCTGCCTTTCAGTCGTCAGTGAAGCGAACAATGGGGCGTTTACGATGTGGCGTATCCCTTGCAATCATACTCGATCTTGAAGCGGCAGAAATGAAGTATTGAAACTAACCTTCAGGCCTTTTATCAAGTCATAAGAGAATATCATTTGGCTTAAAATTCTAAGTTTTGAAACGAAATATGCGCAGCAGACGATTCAATGGCCGTTTGAAGTCTGGCAGCTTCATCTTTGGACCAGACTGCTATTACGAGTAATTTCCACCATAAGATGGATACCGGATGTCCACCTTGTGCTGTTCAGTCTAGTACGGGCGAAGCCTGTCGAACGTCAATCCTAGCAGTGTCGAACACACCCGACAAACGCGTCACGTACCCAAGTGACAATCGACAGTCAGTATTTGTTAATCGCGTTCCGGATTGACAGCAAAGGCCTTTCTGTCGCTAGTGGCTGCAGCACCAGATGAATATCTGAGGTAAAAATGGTCGAAGCGTGCCATAACTTGAAGAATTGTTGTTGAGGTGAACTCTTAGGCTTTGCTTGTTGGTTTATGTACAGCTGTCGACGGAATATCGCTGTGACATAGTTGCTCTGAGCGTCTGCTATATGGATGGAATCATTACAACGTGGTGGGCGGATGTAAAATAATGTCCAAGCGCTTATTGTTCTTTTGTTGCTTTGGTGCATGTACTATACAACTCATCATCCATGTTGAAAGAACATCGGTAAATAGCTCCTTTATCGCGTGAGAAGCCACGCATACCATGCGGTACATATAATGTTTGTATGTGCTTGATAAAAATCATGACCGCCCATAAACGTGATTCTATATTTTTCAGCTTTCAGGTGTCAACATTGTTGTCGCTAGAGCCCCTGCACAAAATTTATTCTACACTTTATTTTGAACTTTGTCTCATTTCGCAAGACTGAAACACAGCTACATCACACCTTTTGTTAGTCGCTTCTATATTTCTTTCAGATATGTCGACTGTCGTCATAAAACAGACCAGGCTAGAGCCGAGGTCTACACGTACTGTACAGCTTCTACATGATTGGTGCCGGTGAACGTGCTGTATCTGCATTGGCATCGGACGTGCGTATGGAACCAGCATGGGAAAACCACGAAGCATCTCTCACTCTGTAAAAGCAGTAATAAATAGTCCATCGTCCGAATATCACAAGTGTGCGGTGATGATGGATATCTGTGCATTTTATGCAGCGAACATGCTGCTTTTGACATAATCCTGCACAGTACGGATGCTATCGATAGTTTTCATGCGATTTGCAAAACTCTCTTCCCGTAATCTTACAGTGAAGCTTTGATGGAGCGACAAAAAGTTGAGAGTAGATAATTAAACATTTGCTCGGACTGTCGTCTGTATGTTGTAGTGACTTTCCATTTTCGTCGCAATAGTCATCCCTATGCGTCGTTTGGAAAATTCCAATGCTTGCTGACGCTTGTGATTCATTTCTTGATTACGGCTTTTCTTGAGAAAGCCGCTTGCAATTTGCTCGTCCAGTTTAACTGCGTTCAGACGCTCAGCACCTGCCATGGCCTCCATGTATGTACGTAGTATAATTTGATTAGTTTCGTCTCCTGTCTGGATTTCCACATTATCATATGATGTATGGATTGCTTCCCACTCGTCTCTTAATACATCTATCAGCTTTGCGATACTTGAAGGGAAGCAGAAACCTGTGACTTCCAGTCGAAACAGTTTTGCCGATCGTGAAGCCTGATCTTCTTCAGATACCAAACTGGTCGCCATGGCTTCAACTCGGCCAAACGAAAGTGCTCGCAAACTTTGAATGGAAGCATTTGCAAACGGAAACAATGCATACAATTCGGGCACGTCTTGACTTGACATGGCTGTGACAGAACACACGGAGAGCTTAGAAACTTGTTAGCATGTATACTAGCAAGACTATACGTACGAGCACGATTGATGAGAAATTCGTATAGTCCATGGACAGCATCGTGGCCGTAGAAAAGCAACAGCGAGTCGGCACCATGCAAATTCTTTAAAATAGTGGAGGTGCTGGTCACAGGTGCAATGTCATTGTAGCTACCTCGATCGTTGTTTCCATTCCGACTTGCATCGGACTCTTCTTCTAGCAAGTGAAATTCACCAACTTCGCATTCTGTCTGATTTTCTCTAATGTACGGCATCGTGTATGTCACGTTGAGATGGTGTAGCATCTTGCGGATTCTTGCACTGGACTGCGACATCACAGCACGAAATGTACCAACATTGACCTTTTCAGACGAAGTTTGAGTGCACTCTTTTGCTACATCATGCTGCCGACACAAATCGATGATTGAATTTTTGCCTCTTGTTACACCGCAGCCGGCAATTTCGTAAATGAAGTGTACTACAAATTCGTTTGAGCGGAGATAGAATGAGACGTCCGAGTTATCACTATTGATAGTACTGGAAGACTGGCGACGAAAATTCATGTAGACGTCGTGGAATGCTCTCTGCCAAGTGTGCCAGCGCGTTGTGAAAAACGTCTTTTCATCTTGTTGATGCTCACGTTTAAGGCTACTCAGTATTGATTCACTTGTGCTCACTGACGAGGCTCGATTTTGTAAAATCGAAGTCGGTACTTGGGTTGCAGGGTATGCGAAATAGTGCAATGCTTGTTGCCATCGCACCGCTGTGTTTTGAGAATTGACTTGTTGGCTGCTTTGTGCCCCGTTACACATCATCATGTTTCGCAATGCCTGTTCCTTCACTTTAGAGCTGACGTCGTCATCCCAAAATTGTCAGAGTAATCCAATCTATTGAAACGGATATCAGCGATATTTATCGTGACGTACGTCGTGCGTTGAAAAGGAAATGGCATTGCGGTTAGAATCGATAACTTCGTTTTGGGCACAGCATCTAATGGCAACTCTGCAACCTTATTTATGAGATGTGAGCATACGATCTGGTACTGATGAAAAGAGATTGCTTACCTTAAATTTATGCGGGACGTTTGAACCTGGAATTACCAGTCGTCTCTGTGCTTTTTTACTTAAAAGGGACGAGTTATAAAGCGAATGCAAACGTGTGGAGAATGAAACTGCTGACGCCTTTACTCGAGGTGACTTTTGCACCGTTGATGAATTGTTCACTGCTTTTAATGTTGAGCTTAATGTCGAAATCACTTGGTCAGAACTGTCATTCGATATTTTCTTAACTTCTTCGGAACTAATGAGACAACAAGTCATCAGAATTACATCGCTCGACTGTACAATCTGTTATTCGTCATCTACCTGGTGGATGTTGGTATTGGTGAAGAAGAAATGACAGCTTTTGGAATCACTCGTGCCTTTTTCTCAGTCATACCTAGCAACTTAGCGGCTCGACGGCGTTTCTACCAACCAATTCCGATTCTCAGTCGATTTCCCAGCAATACCGAGCATTTAATGTCGTCACATACCCGCAGTTCCATTGGTAAAAGTCTCTTTTCATTGCGCTTGCTATGTATTTCTCCCTCACCCATTTTGAATTCCATGGAGGGCTCCTACGCAGCTCCGCCTTCCGCAAGACTAACAATGTTTTGCGTCAGTATACCGATCGGTTTTTGTATTACAATTACTACTTCAAACCGGTATTGAAATTTATTTAGACTGTATGAAGCCGGAGAGCACGTTATGGACATCAAACGATGCATGTCATGCAACACGTAAATGAAACATAAATGGCATTACGAGGCATTGTTGACGTTTCAGAGAGTAGACTGACAAGGATTTGGCAATAAATGCGCATGGGGAAATTGAGAGGCGCAAATAGTAGTGATTGAGATCTCAATTGGCAATTTTCAATTTGTAGTAAAAAAAATCTTAAGTCGGGGTGTCGTGTTCACCAAAAATATCACTGAGATGAACCCGTTAGCAATCATTTGCAAATACTTTATACAGCCCACAATAGTCACAGCATAACCGTACAGCGTTAAATGGACCGAGAAATAGCATGTGCTCCACAAATGCCACAAGATTACACACGCCTGTTGATGATTAAGAGTGTCTTGTCGTCCCGATAACAGACACGTAAACATATCAAATTCAGTAAAGATACAATCTTCTCTAGACTTGGTCTTTAAGATGGCAGCAAGTGCTACCAGATGCAACGGGACCGTCGTGTGCCCAGCACATACAGAGCATCGACTCCCAGAGTCCCCGTCAGTTAATGCATAGAGGATGGGTAAGTCAGGCGCCACCCTCATGCTGAACCGAGAGCCTATTAATTGGATTGCTCCAAGTTGAAATGAGATAGATTTCGATGTTGATCTTATTCAGACTATAGCTATTGCAGTATCCATTCACTCTGACTATCCCGAAAGTAATGCGAACACCTTCGTGAGCATAATGAAGCCATGTCACGACCCCACTCATACAAGCTAATTTGATGCGAAACGGTTTTTTTTTTAAATAGATCAACTTTTCAGCAAACCCATGTAGCTGAGATACAGCAACCTGGTATTGAACTGCTTAAACGCCTCAAACGAATCGAAGTCCAAGTGATCGAATCCAAATAAATTTTTGGACGCACGCCAAGACTCTCAGAGAGAGTTAGCGTGCCGCCGCAGCGACAAATTATCACGCAGGTTAGCTACGAAAAGC